AATAATATATAAATTTTTAATATTATGAAATGGAAATAAATACGGAGTGGTCGAGTATGGGAAAAATCTGTATATAATAACATCGGTTCAGTTGATAACAAATAAAAACAATATAAAAATGGTTACACTCATTCGAGAAATTTCCCTAATTTGACACGGGAGCGCAGAGAGGGTTGTTTTGTCAACTTGGCCACGATTTAAGTTACTGCTTCGTTACCGGTTATCTAGAGTAAGTTAATTAACTCTGAGCCGAACGTCTCCGCGGCTCAGACCCCATTTGTTACCCCTATCTAGGGGACGGTTCCAAAAGACGCGATTAAAATTCTTGCGCCTCTCCGAGATTTAGTCATGTCGAAGCTATGGAATTATAAAAACGCCGGAGAGTCGTCCTATTTCAATTTACGATTTCGACATTTGTATTTCACCATTTTTACACGAAGCACTGATTAAAATCGCGAAATACGACAGAATTTTCCGTGTGGCGTACCATTTTTATGTACGAAGTAATTTTAAATGATTATAATAGATACGAAACTCAGTGTGTTGATTGCAAATGTTGGTCGTTAGTCCGCAACATTTTTTGGATTTCATGCCATATAGCTATACTTATCAAAGAATTTGCGCAAACGAGAATTAGTCGTGTGATTTAAATTGATTAATATACATATTTTTAGGAAAACATGATACTCGGAGTATGCAACCAATCATACACCAATCTAGCATAGTTTCGTTTTACCACGTCAGTTTCGTTTCCCAAGGATCCGTGCCATTTTGGACATTTCCTGGACATGACGGCACGTGTTTGGGAGCAATCAGATGTTTTCGGAGAATTTACCGCACGGCTTGGATTTTGACGATTGTCAATTCTGACGGTCATGCTGTTTATAGCATATTATGCAACAAGTGCGGTAAGCGGCATTTGACTCACGAGTTTATTTGACACGAGCGGAGCGCAGTTTAAAATGATTATTATAAATATATATGAAAGAGTAAATGTATCTATAAAATAATGTTAGAATATTTATACGAAAAAGTTATTCTATTCAATATAATCACTATCATCAATGGACATTTTCTTCTTCGATGACATGTTCTACTCCAACTAGAAGCAGATATTTTTTCTGCTTCACTTCTATTGCAACAGAACTAAATTTCGGCGAGGGGTTGTTTCTTCTTAAAGTCGGTTTCAGCAGTCCCCATACCAGTTCCTTCGGATTAAAATTGTAGTGAAACCCCGTTCCATGGCCAACTTGCCACATTATACTTCTTATCAAGCTTTGCAGTCTTAAGAACTTCCAATAGATGCTTCTTTGTGTATCATTTTCAAGCAACAAATTTTGAATAACTTCTGTAGTCGATGATGTATTCGGTATTTTTTCCGCCTGTGCAGAATGGTAGCTGGAAGCAATTTTTAAGAGATGTCCAAAACACCGTATGCCACAGTACATAGTTGTGAATGGTGTCCAAGAAAGAAAAACGCGGAAAGATCGTGGGGTCCCAAAAGGTCTACTACCATTCCGGAATAGTGAGACGGTTGATATATTGTTTTAACAATTAAAACTCTACATGAAGAGACTTTGCGTGCATTCGTACGATGAATTGGTTTTTATTACAAAACCATCAATAAGAATAGCGTTCTCAGTGCCAAGGGATGTTCCTGTGACTCTGAAGATTAGAGTAAGGCTTAAAAGGGTAGAAAGATCGAAAGCCAAAGGCACAATCGCCTGGTTGAAAGCGAAAGACAACCAAAAACACAATATCTGAAGGAGGTTGATAGCAAACTGATCCGAACTATGCGGATGGACAGAGAGAGACTAAAGCAGAAGGATATTGAAACCACATGGATAAATTTTAGGAACATCTTCATTGAGACTGAACAAGAAATAATACGGAGGAAGATCGCAAGTAGAGAAAACAATGCATGACTGATGAGATATTAAGGCTCATGGACATGAGACGAGGGCTAAAGAACAAAAACGAGCAGGAGAACCGAAGAATAAATCGTGTAATCCAAGAAGAAATCAAGACTGCAAAGGAACAGTGGCTGATTACACAATGCAGAGAAGTCGTAGAGTTGCAGGAACAACATACATATAGGGAAACTTCACGAGAAAATTAAAGAAGCCGCAGGTCTATGGACGCCAAAAATGTCTCCTTGGTAACAAAAATTAATCTGGAAGCAATACTTGATGGAACTGTTCTGAAACGAAAGACCTCAGGGTGGGCCAATCATCGACAAGAGAAACAACCTTTCAATTCTTACGTCAGAAGTAGCCCGATCAATCGAAGAAATTAAAAGCAATAAATCCGCAGGCGAACATTCTACGCTGACAGAACAATTTAAACACCTTAAATAAATAAATAGACTGACGTACATACTTAAAGCAATTTACGAAAGCAGACATATACCCCAGGACTAGCTAACATCCACATATATACCTCTGCCTTAAAAGCCCAAAGCGAGGCAGTGCGAGGATCACGGAACAATCTGCCTGATGAGCCACGCATCAAAGATTCTGATGAGAATCAACCGAATCCGCTCAAAATGCGATGATTACAAGAGAGGCCACCCTTTGTCTAACCTTAATGGCGTTCGAACAGCAGACAGCAGCATTGAATATGAACAGCTACAACCAATACTGCAAGGGAATATTGAAGGAAGACGGGATATAGGAAGAAAAAAGAAATAGTGGTTGAGAAACATAAGAGACTGGACAGATACAGATGGAAACACCTTAATCCATCAAGCCCAACATAGACATCAATTTGCCAACCTCAACAGAGACGGCACCTAGGAGGAGAAACAATAAAAGGCAAGTTTTGATGGAATCAAAGAGGACAAGAAATCCAAGAAACTCGTGCTAAAAACTTCTCCATCATATACTTAGATAAGATAGCCGCGATATCCTCAACAAAGGATGGACTGATGGTCATAGCAGGAAATGTTGTTAAATGTGCCAGTTGTTTTCTGCAAAGGATGTTAAACAAGTAAAGGTTGACTACCACGAAAAAACGACAGCAGACATCTTTGAAAAATGCGTCTCTTAAAAATTGCTTCCAGCTACCATTCTGCACAGGCGGAAAAAATACCGAATTCATCATCGACTACAGAAGTTATTCAAAATTTGTTGCTTGAAAATGATACACAAATCATCCAATAGCAAACTGGGAAAGCGTCCAACATCCTAAGAAAATATTTGAGAATCATTATGTTAAACTCTTCCTAATGTGTTTCAAGGATAGTTTTATCAAGATTTATAAAAAGCACTCTAATATGAATTAATATAGCATTTTAATCAAAGAAAATTTTCCTACTCTTAAAATACAACAGTTCGCAAGGCGCAGTTTTTGTGGGCTATCATCTTAAATACGGCCCTGGCTTGTGGTATACGTGCTGAAACGAAAAACGGTATACCATTAGGCCAACTTTACAAGCTTTGAAAAAGAAAAATGTGGCCAATTAGTAGGTAATGGTTATAGAAGTTTCAAATGCTTGGCTGTAACTCTGTCGTCAAACGGGGGAACCATGATGTAAATAATAAAATTGGTCGAGCAAACGAGCCATGAAACAACTGAATACAATATAAAAACTATAAAATTTGATTTATATCCATTTAAATAGTGACATTCATGTGAAACCTCATTTAATTTTTTTTTTAAATATCACAGAACTTGGCAAAGTAACGCCGACCAAATCGTAATGCGGAATCCAAAAACAACCTTCCATATGCATCCAACATTACATAACGCATCGCTTTTGTATCACTCGACGTCTACAATCCTCCTTAATTTAATGTGACGAAGCTTTTTGAAGTCAATTTAAAAGCATTTCCGAACTCAGATATTGTCGTTCCCATTCGACGCTTCAATGCATTCAAAAAATAAAAGCACGCACCTCTATAATTTATCCGGATAGAGCCAATAAACGAACAATGGCTGGGATGAAAATGAAAATCTAACTTGCCGCAGACGGTTTGATCCTTTGTAGTGATTTACATCTTTAGTCGAAGGCATTGGATCAGGAGATTTAACGTAAATTGACTAGAAACGTTACCCATACGATTGAAATTTTGTGCCGTATTTTCGTGTGGTTTAGGAATGGGAACGTGGATTCCCAAACCGACTCGAACAAATGAAAAAAATGTTGATTTCAGGATCCTCATTTCTTTTTTAGAAGTGGAAGACAGAAACTTATTTTTTTAATGGAAACCTTCGATTCAATAATAAATAGAATTTGGCAATTTTATGAAAGTAAATAATACAGGGTGCTGCAAAACGATAGGTACTATTTGGGATGTTAATAAAAATAAAACTATATAAAGCAAACATTTTTTTAAAATTATTTGTGAAATGTACATTTTATGCCATTTAGGAACGTTATTTTTTAAAAATGATGTCTTTTAAAGGACGGCCATTATTGTCGATGCACTCTTGTAGGTTCTCGCGGATGCGCATCATTACCCGATGGATCATTTCTTGGGTAATTTCTTGTCTTATGGTTGCCTTTAATTCTTCCAAAGTCCGCGGACGATGTGTGAAAACTCTCGCTTTCAGGTAACCCCAAAGAAAAAAGTCGGAAGGCGACAAATCAGACGAACGTGGCGGCCAGCGAAGATCACCCCGTAAAGACACCACTTTGTTTGGAAACATTTCTTGAAGAAGATTTAGTAAACGACGCGTTGTGTGCGATGTAGCACCATCCTGCTGGAACCAAAGATGTTCTCTTTGATCGTTGTTCAACTCGTTTACTTTTGGACGCAGGAAATTGTTAAGCATATCAAAATATCGATCTCCGTTGACTGTTACCGTTATTCCATCTTGTTCTTCGAAAAAGTAAGGACCCCACACGCCGAACTCCGAGACTGCACACCAGACGGTGACTTTTGGACTGTGCAGAGGTCACTCATGAAGTTCGTGTGAAGTATTTGCTGACAATAACGGAAAGTTTACCGTTCTGTTTGCAATTGTGCAATTAAAAACATCAATACACATCTAGCGTTATTTATTTTATAAATGTATACATTTAATAGCTTCCAAATGGACCTTTAATGCAGCGCACTTCATGACCGTCGAAAAAGTCTCCAACGAAATATCTTTTGCAATGTCTGCACTGATTTAGGCTCGCATCACCTGTCCCGTTATCCTTTAACCCACGTAGTCCCACTAACGGTGATTTCGGCCGTTCGATTATTTTTCCCGACCTGGTTCTAAAAGAAAAACGCATCACCCTAGAAGTACTGTAGGATTGGATCAACTACGTTTGATATCTTCGCGAAGAAGGATCTTCGCCGCAATATGTTCTCGGTATCCGTTCCGAGAGGCTCAGTTCTTCTTCCGTCTCAATCCAATTCGCGGGCATGTCTGACGGACTCATTATTTTGAAGAACGTACGTTTTACTCTGGGAGTCTTGATGTGCTTGATTTTGGTAAAAATTTCGAAATTCTCTTTGTCTTGCAGGGCACTGAACACCTCATCGAAATGGTGCTGCAGGATTTCGTCGTTCATCGTTCAGTTCGAACTTCTATCGAAAAATTTGAGCAAATTTGTTGATTGACATTAGAATTGTCACATCCTCGTATAAGACGTTTCTGGCGAAATGGAAATACATTGCAGTTCTTCGTTTAGATTAACTTGCGTCGAGTACTATTTGATGTACCACTAACCACCACCACCACATGTTTTTTTAAACTCAGCATATCTTTCAACATTTGATTATTCTTTATAGAGTCGCCAATACTAAATAATATGAACGCGCCAGAACAAAGGAGAGTTAGATACTGTGAACTGATTGTTTTGTACACTGCCTCCGGGAACAGGAGCATCGAAAAATTTATAATGTCGATACGAACGAGACGGTATTTAAAACGCAGCGAAAACTATTTTACTTAGTATCAAGCTGGTACAATTTCCCGATAACATAAAACCCTCTATAATAAAAAAATAAACATTTCAAATCGTTCTGCAAGTTTCTAATTATAGACGAGGGCCATAACCGTGCGACAAGTTTGAAATAGGGCTTCCATCGGCAGATCCGCTCAATTAATTAAATTTTATAGATACAAAAAAGACACTTTTATGCTCTTTTATGAAACTTTATTATCGCGCTTCTAAACTTAACTTTTTTCGTTTGTTAAGCTAAAACCGAACGAGATTGCATTAAACTTTAACTGTTCGCTCGTCAAATTTTAAATTTTATCTTCACTTTTATACGGGAATTAAATACCTATAAAATGTTTTAGTCGGATGACGCCTTAAGTAAATTGAACCTGAGAGGGGAAGGAAGCGGACAAATTAACGTTGACGATAAAATTTTAAAACCTCCGATGTTCGCTTTACATCGTGTTGTTCGTCTGTAGGGCCCTATTGTGACCTCTAAGGAATGATCTTCAAAGTCGCCAACGTTTTTTGAAAACGCTTAAATTCCATTTTGAGCATTTTGCCAAATTCTGTCAAGTTGCAAGTATTTTACTTGAATGAAGGGGATCCAAGAGAAAAGTTCTTGCTGTAGTATCTACATTTTTCTGACTAAACATATACAGGGTGGACGGTTGATGGTACCTTAGTTAGTTTGGTTCTTCGATCAACATTGAAATTTTAAATGGAAGACACCATGTATATTATTACGTTTTCAGACCAGCAAACACTGACTGTTTTTGGATAATACGTTCCTATCTATATCTTCAGCGGTTTTCGAGAAAATAATTATTTCACTCATTTTTCCCACTAAAGCATAGCTTGAATTAAATTGTTGTTACTACGGCACTGGAGCCAGTGGAAAGTTAAAATTTTGGTTAGTTTAGGGTATTGAATAGAATTTCTTATTATCGAAATTAATGCTACATTATTCAGGTACAAATATAGTGAAACCTGTATTTTATAAAATGCAACACCCAGTATATTTTCACATATTCTAGGAAATTAAATTTCCTTTCGAATGATGTTTCATGTCCCTAACCTAACTCGTTTGGTTTCTGAAATAATCGCAAGTTTCTTTCCTTTTCGAGAATATTTGCCTCCAGAAACTTCGGACCTCCTGGTACTAGCTAAATGGTGTCACAAAAATTATACGAATTATTTGATGACCATTGGTTTTGACATTTGGGCCAGGGGCCAGCAAGATCGCCTGATCTCACGCCTCGTCTATTTGACACCGGTGCAGAGCAAGAAAGAGATACGTTATGCTTTCAACAAATAGGAGACAAAGAGGGCCACTTCAACCAGTTTTAAAGTCTTTAGAATGCAATAAACACGAACACCTAATGAAAAAATTAGATAAATTCTCTTGTGAGCAATTTTTGTTTAAAGTATCTTAAGATTTTCATAATTCTCATAAATTTTCTCTTATTCATTTATTATATAACCAAACAATTTAGGTTTTTACGTTTTAGACTAGGGACATGATACAGCATTCGCAGGGAAATTTAATTTTCCTTTAGAATATGCGATAATATATAGTATATTTTATTTTTAAAAAATCCACTTTTCACGATATGTGTATCTCGTAGGCAAATCATTATTTTGACCAACCTAAAACTAATTTCTATATTAAGAAATATTGGACGGTACCTCCCTAAGCTAAGTTTAAAAACCCTTCCAAAACATTACTCAGATATTTTCGCGGCCATAATAAATAAACATTAATAAATTAATGATTTCGTTCATCCTTGGAAATTGAAAGTTTATGCTCTGCGGCATCACCATAGCATACTTAGGGCAAACCTACATATATGTGCCAAATATGAAGTCGAATGCTTCAAATTTCAGACACTTATGTTTCATAGCAATGTCCAAAAACTAGTCGAAAATCGCGAAAAAATATGGATACCGGTGTCGGATCAAGGCCATTTCTTTAAAAAAGAGAGAAAAGGAGACAAATTTCAATTTTGTAGCTCCAACGGTTCGAGAGTTATTCAGGAAAAACCAAAAGACGAGAACGGAGAACGGAGAACAGAGAAAGGACAGACAAAAAAAAATTTTTTTGGCGGTACCAACTGCGATTCCATAGAACCTACCGTTACCGAGATATAAAATTCGATTTCATCGATTTTCGAAAGTAACAAGACTCTTTTCAAATGTCTGTCAAAATTATCAAAAGCAAACAAACAAAAATTCGAAATATCAAAAATCCGGTTGATAGGTTGAAATTTTTATGAACGGTTTTTCGGCACGAACAAGGGACTGTAGGCTGTAGGGGGTAAGGTAGTTTGCAGCTTAACTGAAAAATTGATTTGTTTAAAGCAAATAATATATTAACATGGCAAATAAGCAACAATATCAATAAAAATATGCGATTTGGCAGCACTTATCAAAATCCACGACCGGCAGAGATAAATATGCCAGTACCGCGACCTGACGAATCACCTGCTATGGCGGATCGTATCGTCCAATGTTCCTGCGGTTTCGGAGGTGCTGTCCTGCTTTGCGCGTTTCTGTCCACATAAGGTGATCTTTTTGTCATATCGTGTTGCGCATGCTCGATATCAGCGCCGAAGTTCACGCGGGAGTTGCTTAGTAAGTAAGGTACGGCCGTCACGTAGCAGAAAGCGCAAACGAGAAATACGAGGACGAAAAAATTACGCAACTAAAAGGAAATTTGTTAGATTTAGTTTCTTAAATTGCTACTAAAACGTATTAAATAAGAAAGATATAGAGAACATTTGTGGGTGGGTGGAAGTGTGTGGAAGCATGCCTGTAGCCATCTCTTTTTATTTTAATATAATTCCAAGAAAAGCTTTACTAATGGCACATTATAATCCAGGTTCGGTTCGCCCAAAGCTATACTGTTTTTACGACATAATCCGGTATTTTATTAAGTTTATTAACCAAGCCAAATGTTATATCACCCGGTATAAAAATTGGTTTACGAATTTAGGTGCTATTTTACAGGGGACTTAATACCATTTGAGGACAAGTTTATTAACCAAACCAAATGTTATTTTTTAATATTCTACCCACCCTACGAATTAGTAGAACCATTTTTTAAACACTCTATAGAACATGAAATTGTTTGGTAATACTATTAAAGAAAACAAAATAATTTGTTTCTTGAGAAAAGCTACGTCTCACTTGTCACATGTTTTATCACATTTCAGATTGGCACTTGCTTTCTTATATTAAAAATATCTCTTACCATATTGAAGTTACGTATCTGATGAATTACGAGACCAAACTGCACTCACTACCATACGTTACCGGGTATTTTATATAGCAACTGCGTATCGTGTGATTCCCGATATATAATCGCAAAACAAGAAAGTATCGAAAAATAAAAACATAATTTATTCGTGATTAAAAACGAAGCGACTTGCTAAATAATTATCCCTCACTCCGGTCGTGAAAACGGCATGGTGCCAAGTCTGGAAACGACAAGCAATTTTATTTTTGCTCAAAGTGCGAAGACTCTAAAAATTAAAACAAGCGAAGTGGTCGGCCCTTGGATTTAATGGCGGTGGGTTTATTAGCCTCCTTTGTTTCGGGACCACTATCCAATTAAAAAACTATAGAAAGTGGTTACTCACTCGGTACCCAAAAAAACAAAGGAAGCCGAGCGTTTAATTTAAAAGGAAACGTTTTTCGACGCCATTTTAATGTAAAGAAAAATTATCATAGCGATCAATTATTTTTAAGATTTCCGCTGAAATAATTTCAACGTCGTAAAAGTTTTGTTTTGGCCTCCGGCATAATTAATTGAAATGTAACTTAGCATTGAAAAATTGGGCAGGACTCATTTTTAGTAGTTATTTCGTTAGGAAAAAAATCTACACAAATTTAAATTTTGGGACTATTTCAAATTTGGAACGAGTCCCTTTTTTAAGAAATGTATTAAAAAAATCTCATTTCCCATGTGATTTCAGTTAGTAGCACCTCTTGAAGAAGTTAGGTATTTTTTTCATTTGTTAATAAAGAAAATAGCATTAAATTTCGTAGGAGTATTGGTTAAAAACAAGAATTTGTAAGGTTTTTTATAGATTTGGACCGATGTATACGATTTTTTTCGCCTAATACATGGAACAACTTGTGATACGTTAATGTTACTCGTTGAAACAGGTACACCGTGTGCCAAATAAATCGACCCACTATACGATCTGGAAACCCATAGGAGATACGAAAAAAAGTTTCGTCCAAAATTTTCTTGGAGTCTCCAGAAGATTTAAAATGTTCTAATTTTGTTGATACAGAATTAAAAGATAAAATTATAGTTTGTTTTTTGTGTGATTTTTATCAGGACTTTCCGTTAATGTTAAATATTTGTCTAGAAATCATACAGGTTGTCCACTTTGTTATTTTAAATGGTACATATATCAACATTTTTGGAATCCTTAGTTAAAATAAAGGTCACTTTCTTAAGAAATTCCTATTCAAATTTTGCATAGTTTAGGCAGAAGTTGAGGTTATGTGTTTTTTTATTCACAGAAACAGAATTCATATTTAAAGAAACATTTAATGGTTAATTATCTAGCTTGATTGAAAATACCAAATAAATATTATTAGGCCACTGCTACACCTTTTATACAAATAACACTAACGCAATCTGTTGGTTACCGACAAACCCACTTACTATCACTTGTTGACAAAAAATTACAACGAACTATTCTAACAAATTACAAAAAAAAGAAGCATTCTATACAATTCTACCCATACACAATACTATTTTTTGACTGCTGTTGCCTAAGACTGGCAGGATCATTAAGCCACATACTAAGGTTCTTCTTCTTTTACTTCTGTTGGCCATGACTGCTAGGATCATTCGGCCAAGATACTAAGGTTAGGAACAACAAAGAAAATAATTCTTTCTTTTGTTGCTGATGAATTACGTTAAAATTGAAATAGGTCATATGCTTAAAAACAATTAGCAACCCTGATAGTAAAGTTGGTAAAGTTTTATATCACAACCGTTATTGATAACATTATGAAGGAAACGGAACTCACATTGTTATAGTTTAAGAGTTTAACAAAATTGTTACTAAACCACGGTCAAAAATGTAAAACCCGAAGCGGTCTAATTGTCATTGGTTCGGTAGGTCTTTGCCCTATTGCCAAAGCTAAAAGAATAGATTTTTTTAAATTTTAATCAAAGTTGGAAAAAATGAAAAACTGTTATTATTAAATATTTAGGATTTATTTTAAGATCCCTATTCATGTAAATGGTACTTCACCATAAATCCCCTGAGTTTTACGATTTGCGAATAAACATTTATCTTCGTTTTTCTAACCTTGAATGGGGGTCAGATAGATTTATTTATACGGGACTGGCGCTGTTACATCGCAAACATCGACGACTTAAAAGGTTTTTGTTATTTAGTTGGATGCCGAAATAAATATTTTGGTGTTTTCTGTATCCAATGAAAATTTTACTTTAAAAAACATATATTTCAACGTCCATCTAATGAGCGCTCTTCCTGTACTTATTTATCATATTATTTTGCTTTTAGAACGAAAAAGTTTTTCAAGTCTCGTTACAGGTATACGAGAAACGTTTCAAATATTTGCCTTTCGGCATTTTTAACTAGTTCCGAAAGAAAAATAATTGGACCATTAAAATCAACGTCCAACTACATAAATTTTGCACGAGTTTCATGTTGGCTTAGGAGCAAGCCACCTTATTTTACCTGAGTTTGAACGCTCGTGGTTGAAAATTAACGTCAGTATGTTCTACCAGTTTTATACATCGAAATTAAAGTATATTAATAAGAGAACTAAGATATTTGAAAGAATCCAGACTTCACGAACTTGAACAATCTACATCGTGATGGAAATTGCACGTTATGCAACAAATTTAATAAATTTCGCTTTAGTCACAAAGTTCCTTTTGGTTAGTTGTGCTCACAGCACAAACCGCAAAGCAAGTGATCAATAAACTAGTAACCGAAGAGGTTTATCAATGTAATCAATGTAACTACACTTTTTCAACGTCCATTAGCACTTGGAACAGTTTTTTTTTGTCAAAACTAACCAGTGGCCAGAGAAACCTTTGCTCATTATTGATCAGTGCATAGCAAGGTATTTAGAGTAAAAAATATGAAGTGGTTTCTATTTACACAGAAAAAAAAAAGATTTCGACAGTTTGGTTCATTTCACTTTCATTGTTATTATTTCAATATCCTGTGTTATTAATAACCGAAATTACTAAATACACTTTTTCCCCATGGGAAAAATTAACATAACATTTAAAATATTTTAGACACGGTGAAATTTAGATTATTATTATTATTATAAAAAAAGATATCAACACACTTCCATCATAATTTTTTCTTGCGCATTCAGTAATTAAAAAATATTCAGAGTGCATCAAAAAGTAGATATCGATACTAAGTTCTTGCAATTTCACGCAGCCAATAAAATTAAAAGAAAATTTGTAGAAGCAGGGCATGTGAAAGATCGTCTACATTAAATTTTAAGCATTTTTCTTGAAATCCAATACCTGATTTTTAAATGAGTTTGTTCCATCTTTTAGCTGTACAAAAAAATGAGGAGCCACAGTAATGATTAGTTTCATATCAAAACTTACATTCAATTGATAGGCTCGAAATTCTACTCCCAGAAAATCAAGAATATTGGACATCTGCAAGTAAACCGAAAGTGATTGGAATCAAAAATTATAGTATCTGATCAAAATATTCAAGGAGAAAATAACAAGTATGTCAAATAATATTGAATATGCAACATACCATCAATGAATTTCGATTTCCAATTTAACCATTTTTGTGACTTTATTACATATTTGCAAACGGGAATCAAATATGCATATGCATCAATTTCAATATGTCTACAATTTTCCGGGAAATCCAAAAAAGCAATAATATACAGGGTGTTTCATTGAAAATAACATTGGTTTAATTCAAAATTTTTTTGCTAATTATAGTTTTGCTTAGTTAACGGTTAGCTAACGGGTTCTATTTTGTGGCCATTGCCATCACAAAAGAGTCAGAATTAATTCATTCGTATTATTTGTTCCATATTATTATTATTTAAAGAAAGGGATCGTGGGAGTCATAAGATAAAGGATTTTTTCTACTCCTGTCTGTAAAATACCTAATTACGCACAGATACAGCGTGCGGGAAGCGTCGTTTTACAACGTCAGTTTCAAAATAAATAAGAACTAAAAGTTCAGAATTTCACGAAATTATATATTATGACATGACAATTGTTTCGACAACACCGTGTCTTTATCAAATGACAACATTTGAACAAACAACTGTGCTGCCCTTTACCAATATAAAAATAAATTCTATTCTATTTCTATTCCATTTCTAGAACCGTAATAGAATTATGTAACCCCATACATTCTAACTCTACCAGATTGAACTTCGCCCTTACTTTTGTAACCACAATACCGGCATAGTTGTTTTTAGTCGAACAGTCCGCTTAATGGTTTGTTTTGTACAACAAAAAGAACCGTACTTCGCAAGAGAACACAGGTGACCCTAAACTTTTTCGACCACCCATGCTTCGCACAAGCGCGGCCACGCTCCCCTCCCCCATTAGAGCTTCTCGGTATTGTATTTCGTAAAATCTGTCTCACATTATAAAAGCTTATTATCCCTATATTCTCAGGCAAAAACAGTTATTTGAGCTATTCGGATATCCTTCCCAAACTCCATCGTTGAAAATTTCTCGGGCCAGTTTTATCTCATCTTTCCTTTTTATTACAAAATTCTCAAAATTTTCAGGCAGACCTTTGGGTAATTGAGGACTCTTGTTTTATAAAGAGCTTGAAATGTCCCTCGTAAATAACAGCAATGTTAATAATAATAACTTCGGTAAGTTATTGTTAATAACTATGACTTCTTGTTTAAAATGTATCCCATTCCCGGTTAACTGAAAACTTTGATATAATACAATCTATTATACTTAATAATTTACGATTTCGTGTATTATTTATTATTCGTGTATTATTTTATGATTATCTGTTATTAGCTGTTGTAAGAAATATTTACATATATATACATGTATATATGTATTAATTAACCATAAACAGCAAACTAGAGGTAATACTCATAGAAATATTATTGCCCCTAAAAATAATCGGGCAATTAATCAACAGATATTTGGGCAAACATTTAATAATCTGCTGCCCTGTATACAGGGTGTTTTAAAAGATATGCGATCAACTTAAGTGTTAATTCCTTATTTAAAATAAAGGCTAATTTGTTTGATATAAAAAATAATGTTATTTTTGTATATTAAAAGCTAAAATAGATTGAATGTGACAAGTATTACTATTATAAAAACG